TCGCAGTAGCATTATGCCATACATATTTTGCAATACTAGTGGTAGTTCTTCCGACCCTTACGTTCGACATGGAAAGGGAAGAGAGGATAGCAGAGTATAACCCACCGGGACAGCAAAGGCATCCAAAGTGGTAAAGAATGGATCCTAGCACCGCGGGCGACAAAATAGTATAGCATTTTTCATGCTCTACATATACACAGATACACAGTGCAGCGGGGCAGAACGGCAAGCGAGGAAAGGAGAACCAAGATCAGAGTGCAACAAAGCTAGTGTACTATTGTGTGAGGCCGGCGCATCTCAAAAAAGCATACTTTGCCAGGCCCCGCGCACGTACAGGATGTTGGACTGTATGCCCATGCCAGCCCACACCTGATGAGGATTAATTTTCAATTTTTTTTCAATTTTCAGCATTTTTACTTTAGACTGCCCCAAAGTAGAACCTTTTCTAAAAGGACGCCCTACACAAGGTGCCTCTAGTTATAAACCGCGCTCGCGCGCACTTCGATGGCACTTGGAGCCGAGGTCATGAGCAGCGTTGCTGAGATCCCGGCCACATAGCCTGAGTCACTCTGCATTGCCGGGGTTTAGGGGGTAGGGTTTAGGGTTTAGGGTTTAGGGTTTAGGGTTTAGGGTTTAGGGTTTCGTGTTCGTAGTTTAGAGCTTGAAGACAAGGCTCTCTGTCGCTTGCCGCCCTTCTCACCGTCTTCTCTTGTTAAGAACTTTGCGTTTCTGACAAGAGTGCTTTTGGGCTTTTGGGGGCTCAAACTCCACCCCAAGCCGTACGCCCCAGACAAAAAATCCTAAGCCTCAAATCCGAAGACCTAGCAATTTGCCTTACTAGTAAGACTCAAAGCCTAAACCCTAAACGCAAAGGCCCTTATCCCTACGTAAACAAGCGGCCTAAATAACTACCTATTCTAGTTTGGGGGTTGCTTATTATATTTATGCTATAATGGGCACCACAACCCTCTTCTTATTATTAAGGCCGCTGTATCACGTAGAAGCCTCAGGCCGGGACCCAGCTGCTGTTCCGTGCGCAAGTGGTCGAAAGCGGCAGTCCCGAGCATGGCTGAGGCGATGCTGAGGATCACACCTTGGGAGTTAGGAGCCAGAAGTAGGGTTCAGAAGGGGTACCTTTTAAGGGGTCTCCATCATCATGCTACCCACACCTGTGCTTGAGGACCAGCGCATCTAGGCTTTGAGAAAAGGGTGGAAATGTGGCTGTTAAGAAATAACCCTTTAGATCCCTTTAAAGGAGCCTCAAACCCTAAACCCCGAATCCCTAAACCCCAACGTTTTCTGGCAGGGCAGTAGAGGAGATGGAGATCAGGATTCAGGGTCGAAGGGCCAGGGATTTGAGCCCGTAGAGGAGAATCAGCTAGCATGTCTGCATGACCCTGGTGCCCGAAGGGAACCCGATGTAGCAGGAGGTCTCGGATGTACACTCTCGGGGTGCACTCTAAGACACTAAGGTGCTTTAGGCTTGGGGAGAACGGTGCTTCACAACCATGAGTCCTAAAACTTCAAAACCAACCCTCAACCCCAAACCCTTTTCTTTACACCCTGTACCCTTCTCTTAAGGCCCTATGCCCTGAACGCTAAACTCTAAACCCCAAAAGGCCCCACACCGGCTTCTGGGGGTTTGGGGCTTCGAGGCCCTGGTGGCTCAGGCTGCAGCGGCTCGGCACATCGCTGACCTGAGTCTTCTTGCCTCTTGGCCCTTGTAGCAACGCTATTACAGTAAAGTAACCCTACGGCACCTCTTCTGGCAAAGCTTATAGTGCCCCTTCTAGTCAAATCTGGAAGGGTTGACGCTCACACTCATCAATGCCAGGCGAGTTTCAGGGTTTCAGGGCTGAGAGTTGGGATTGATGGCGTGGGGTTTAATGCTGGGTTGAAGGTTAGGGTTAGGTTGTGGAGGGTTTTTGCCTTCGGGGCTCTCTTTCAAAATCGATAGTTCAAGGTTCACGGGTTTAAGGGTTGCGGAAAGTTCCATGGTTTGGGCATCTCATCGCTCACTTGACGCGAAAACCCACATGAACTTGTAGCGCGCTTATCACCGGCCTGAAAGATGGCACCAGGTGCGTAGCATCTCCTCTCTCCTTCAATAACCGGGCCCAAAAAAGTTTAAACTTTCTAAGATCGACCAAATATATTAACCCAAAAAGTTTAAAGTTCCCCCATTGGCTATCTAAGTCTCTCTGCACAAAAGAGCCACTGGACTAAGTTGCCGTTGAGCTCCACACTCCAGACCCCCATAAAAACTGAGAACCCACCAGATCTCCAGGCCGACAGCCTTACCCTTAAGCCCTCAGCCATTATCCGCCCGAACCCAAAACCCCAAAGCCCCAAAGCCCTGAAGGGCTTAAAGTCTGAACCCCCTTGGCTCAGAACACCGTAGAGGATCGAGACGGTGGCGACCTCGGCCCAGATCGATGCAACAGCTGAGAGGTGTGTTGCCATAAGCGGGGCCTTTAGGTTTCAGGATTTGGGGCCTTGGGGTTCGGAGTGCGGTTTTTCGGCCCTAAGCCCCAAGGCCTTAGGGTTTGGGGACAGTCGAATGGGGTATTGTGGTGCGCTAGAGTCTACAGATGTCTACAGTCGATAGCATGATTGAATAACAAACAGTATAAACAGCGACTGGGGCGCTTGTTGTTCGTCAGACAAGGAGCTCCTAAAGCCTCCATCCCCTCCAAATGCACTGAGCCCCAATGCCCCAAACGACGTAGGACCCCAAACTTTTCCGTTGAAACCCTCCAACTTCCCTGAAATCCTACAGGGGTATTTTCTACAACATTCTACAACCAACCCTAAACCCTAAACCCTAAACCTTAAACCCTAAACCCCGCAACCCTAAAGCAGCGCCAGGGAGTAAGCTGCGCACATCGTTTGGGTCCCCGGGTCGAGGGTTCACGGCGCGAACCTCTACCGGCCTCAGAGTCAAAGAGAGAGGATCGAATGAGAGCTGTATAGTAGTAGTCGTAGTAGTAGTAGTAGTAGTAGTAGTAGTCGTAGTAGTCGTCGTAGTAGTAGTAGTAGGGGTCCGGACGTGGGATCGAATAAGAGCTGTCGAGTTGTTTGATGACGCTGGTTTGCCTTACGTGTGAGATTGTGATTCTGCCTCCGCACATGATTGACGTCAAAGCTATGGTCATGACGCAGCTCAGCTGCGGCAGTGAGGAGGCTTGGGAAGTACCAACGACCACTACAAGTACGACGACTACGGCCACGACGACGATGACGACGACGACGGTGACTAACCACTACCACTACCACTACACGCCACCACTACCCTAGCGCCACCACTACCACCGCTGTGACTACTACTCCTTCGCTTCCTCCTTCTGCTGCTGCCACTACTTCCACTTCCACTACCACTGCCGCTACGACTACTACCACCACTACTACCACCATTTACTGCGACTACTGCCACTACTGCCATTGCTACCACTACCACCACTACCACTACCAAAACCACCACTACCACCACCACCACCACCACCACCACTACCACTACCACTACCACTACCGCTACTACTACTGCTGCTACTACTACTACTACAACAACTACCACTACCACCACTCCTCCTCCTCCGCCTCCTCCTCCCACTACTACTCCTCCTACCGCGACTGCTGCTGCTACTGCGAATGCGACTGCACCGATGGCGACTACTACGACTACCTCGACTATCTCACTGTCACAGGGACCTGTCGTTGTGCTTGCACTACTGAACTCATGGTAACTTCACAGTGTTGGGCACAGGGTCGAGGGCGTGGGTTTGGGATGTTCTGCTTTCAGGTGGGTAACGGGGACTCAAGGACCGAGGTCTCAGGGACAGCCGCGAACCCGAACGGCCATAAGCACTGGACCCACTTTTGAACCCAGACTCTTCTCCATCAGCTGGGAAGTGGGCACCCTGAAGCCTACGACCGAATACCTTCAAACCCCAACCCTCAAACCCTGAGAATGTGGCGTGTTGACGTCCACCACAGGTGACACGAGTTCAAGCTTTCCTTCCGCAGGCGGCTGCCTTTTGGAGCGGGAGGATTGAATCGTTTCGTGTTTTCGGGCTTTAGGATGCATTAATGACTTGAGCAGAGTGGGGTTTGGACGGTTGAGGGTCTTCAGTTTGGGGAACACGAAATCCGTTTCATCAGTGAAATCAGGCCTCTGCGCAATCCTAAACCCCAAAACGCTACACCCGGAATCTCTAAACCCTATCCCTAGAAGGCCTAAGGCCTGTGCGGCTCAACTCACGAGCGCAGACAGGCTCAACTCAGGAGCTTCCCGCTCTCTTCCTGAGTAGTCGTGATCCTTCCGGACCCTCCGCCTCTAACTACCTGAAGCCCCTGTCAATCCATTTTTTCTTGGCAAGGTATACAACACAACATGCCACCCATACCATCCCTGATTGCTAGCTGCTAAAGGCCAGTGAAACGTTTGGGCGCCCCGCACGGGCTTCACCCAGCTCGGGCGCTTTAGCAGCGATACGATTTGACGCCTCAGCGTTGGGCTGATCTAGCGGCTCTAGCGAGGTGTTCGGGGTTCGGGCTCAGAGTTTGGCGCTAAGGGCGTTCTCACCCACTCAGTAGCATCTGTTTGCCCGTTGCTGAATACCCTCACAAATTGACAGGTCAACCACCACTTCTCGCTGTAGTGGGTTTATGGTATACTGGACTTTGAAGTAACCAGGGAGAAAAAAGTATAGACTTTTATTTCATAATAGGTACCCAAAAAAGTATTCAAGTATGGTACTCCAAACCCAGGTATAGGTTCTGGGTTCACAGTGTTGAAGGATTTCTAAGGGCTAGCCCGACGCGAAAGCACTGGAGTCAAGAAGACTTTTTACGCTGCCGCCGTCGCCACTGTACAACGACCATGCTGGCGCGTCTAGCACCCGCCCTGTAGGCTGTAGTCTGAGGACTCGTGGGGCTAATCGTAATCATAACGGCTGGCCCCACACAGGGGCTGCCCAAAGCGGTCAAGTCACAGCGGCAGACTAGTCCCGACCCAAGCGCTGCAAGAGATCGTTTAGCTTGGCTTCCGTCGGCTTCGCCGTCCCGGCAACGAAGAGGCAAAGCCTGGGTTCTTGTTAAGGAATTTAAATTAAGTTACCATAACAAGCATCTATGGTAAATCGTAGCGTTTCCTTATCATGGCAACTTAAATTAAGTTCCTTAACAAGAGCCCGGAAGCCGGACTTCCCGCAGCTCGCTGGCCGGATGAGAGGCGAAGCGAGCATGTGCAGCCGCCAGCTCCTCCAGAATGATCTCCTCTGCGGCAGGACGGCTTCAGATTTTCGCTGCCAAACAACCGCCCGAACACAAAAAAGCTAGGATTTTAGGCCGCTCGTGGGCTAAATGGGGTTTAGCATGCAAGGTTTGGTCTAGTCAAATCCTGCGGGTTGCCGAAGGCACCGCCACCGATCAGCGTCAGCAGCAGCAAGTGCCGACCGCGCTCAATAGCCGCCAGGTAGGCGCCCTCGTAGGCCGCTCGCAACGCCGCTCGCGTCAGGCTAAGAAGCTGCTCCTGTGCTGGCCTTGCACCTGGAGATCGCCAATTGACCGAGGCCGAGATCACTTGATCGACCAAGGGGTACGGCTCCTCCAGCATCTCCAAGTAAATTTCAGAGCTGCCGCGCCCGAAGATGACCTGCGCGTCTCGGTGGACGCCTACCTTGATCTGCTCTGCGACCTCCCCAATCTGCGAAGGGCTCAGCGCCTCCTTGGGGCTTTAGAACTCGGGGTGGGTGCCTTACCTGCTGTATTCTGGGATTCAGGGTCTGCATGTAGGACAATGTAGGATGTGTAGGCTCCCCATTTTCTGAAACTCATCCTCATCCCCGGTTAAGGTGACTTTGCCGTTCACGCACTTCCCGAAGTACTTCGCCACAGAGCCCAAAAGCTCGACCTGTCGCGTTCCAGTCTGCCCCCACTCCTCCGGCGGTCTGGAAGGATCTTGGAAGGCGTAATGCGCCCGAAGCCTGGATTCTTGTTAAGGAGTTTAAATTACGTTGCCATAATAAGCGTCTATGGTAAATAATAATATGGTTTCCTTATAATGGCAAATTAAAGTAAATTCCTTTACGAGAGCCCGGAAGCAGGCTGGCGGCAGGGACGCCGAAGGATGCTCCGGGTCCTTGAGTTGCATCCACACAGTAGTTCTCCACCAGGCCTCCGTAGTCGGGTAGGCAGCCTCGTGACGGATTCTCCAAGCAGTTGAAGTTCGAAGCAATCTGCACCATCGCCCGATCCTCAGTTCTCAGCATGGCCTGCAGCTCGCCGACATCGCAGCCATCCACAACTCGCAGGACAGGGCTGGCCCGGGCCCTCTCAGAGCCTGGGACCACTTTAGCCTCCACTTGCTTGCGGAGCTTCTGGATCGATGGACAGTCGAACTCTCCCGCCGGCCACTGCCGCCCAGTCTTCAGGTTCACGAAGCTTCCCTCCTTGAAGACGGCCTCCCGACTTTTGAGAAGCTCTCGCTCCCCGACGCCCAGGAACCACTTCATCCATCCCGACGTCTCCATCTTCTTGCTGGACATCCTCCTGGGGCAGAGAGCTTGACCCATGGCCGAACCGCTGTCGGAAAATGGCTTCAAGTGCAGCGGTTCGTGCTTTGGAAAGTTCATACTCGGGGTTGTGGAGCGGGGGATTGAGATCTCAGAACATTAAGCTGAAAGGCCACGAAAACTAAACCTTGTAACTTGCACGTTGGGAAACTCTGTGCAGCTTTCTAGAATCGCAGGAACAGCATTGGAAACCGGCGCATTGAACATTCTAAAGCGATGAGCTAGCTACACCTCAACCGTGTTGACAAACCCCGGGCCCCTGGTAGCCCGAAGAACTACTAAGACCACCCGCACATGCTTGTGACAACCTCCTTGAAACGTGAACTGCAAAACACGTACCCTAAGCCTCAAGCCCTGTTACCACTAGGCTCATGTCCAGCCAGGCCAGACCTTTCACCTCTCCACCAACCCTCTTTGCACAGCCTTGTGTATGCCCGCTTCCGTCGACCCTAAACCCCGAACCCGCAACCCCGAAACCCTAAACCTAAACCTAAACTCCAATCCTTCGCGGAGAACCCAATAAAGGATCCCAAACCCCCGAACAACGAACCCACAACCCAGGCAGCCCAAATCGCAACGAAACCCCAGAATCCAAACCACCAATTCCGGTATCCTCTGAAGATCCTGAAGCCAATTCCTACACACCCAAATCCTGAACCCCAACATGCAAAAACCCTGAAGCCGAACCCTGAACCCCCTATACGTTTCCCTAAAACCCCTCCAAACCCTGGCAAACTTCTTAAATCCTATCGCAACACCATAAAACTCCCAAAGACCCCTTTAATCCCGTTATGATTCGCCGCAAACCCACCAAAAACCCAAGAGACCCCAAGCTTGGGCCACCGGCAGCGCGGACGTGGACTCAATGTCGCCCAGGTTCCCCATGGATAAGGCCTCTCTGTGCTCTTTGGGTTGAGGGTTTAGGGTTTAGGGTTTGTAGGGTTTTGAGTTTGTAGGGTTTCCGGGACTGTTGGGAGGAAAGGCTTGCAGTATGTCGGGGTTGATTTCTCACGGAGGGCTCAGGGTAAGCCCAAAACCGTACGATAGGCGTTCGGAACAAACTGGTGCAGGAACAGCAGCTGTAGCTGGTAACCTGACGCAAACGTGCTTCAACACACGCGAGTGTTCCGGTCCAAGTTACACGAGAACGCTCTGATCTACCCTTTTTGCAAAAGCTTTGCACTTCGATCTGCCCTGAACTCGAAACTGTACACCCTGCCCCCCTCAAAAACTCAAACACCAGGCATGACCCAAGTGACAGAAACCCCCAACCCTAAACTAAACCCTTAGATTGAGTCACGGTCTGGCGGAGCAATCCTAAACCCGAAACCCCAAACCCGAAATGCTAAACTTCGAACCCAAAGCCACCAAAAGCAGACAGCGAAGAGCCGGCAGAGAGCCAACGTCTTGGCCCCAAGCCGTGACCTTCAGCTTCTTGGACCTTCATGGGGGACTTACTCAAGCGCCTTTAGAACCCTCATTTTCGTACTCCTTTTGATAATCCCTTGGAGTTATCAGATGAACAGATTACAAGTAATTCCTGGGAACACCACAGCTTACAATTAAGCACAACAAACGAGAACCCGAAAAACTTTCGGGCTAGAGGCGCTAGAATTCAGGCCGGCATGAAAGTTCACAGCTTCGGGATTGGGGCTTGCGTTTGGGGCCTGACGCACCCAGGGCCCAGAAAGCAAGAAATGCATTCATGTTGCTGGGTGAAGCTCCTTCAGGGATGCGGCCGTACATGTTGTCGCTTGTGGGGGATCCCGACGTCTCAAAATTTATCCACATGATGGCTAGGAGTACTACGGGTGCTTTGGGGTGTCAAATTGCGCGTTCGGTGCCATGTTTGTGATCTGCTTCCCTCGCGGTTCGGATGTGATATATAAGTGATAGACTCTGATAGACGTAGCGTTAACGATGTGAGCTTGTTGGAAGGTGTGATGGTCTGCAGCCATGCCCGACTAAACCAAAGCAGTTGAAGACTCTTAGTCAGAAACTAACCCGAACTCGTAAATAAGCCCCAAACCTATGTTGCACGCAGTCACACAGATCAGCACTCGCACATGAATCAAGATAACTGGCTTAGAAGGCATGCCGGCGTCACAGCACCAAATCGCCGGCCGTGCGAGCTGCGCTGGTGAGATCTAGGTGAGGACACAGAGCAAGGATTGAAAACCAGAAAGATATCCTGAAGTGCTTAGGGTGTGAGTTGGATAGTTGGGCTTTTGTCTACCACTACCTTGATTGAGCTAAGGGTTTCAACTGAAAAACCCATCCTGGGCCATTGAGGTTAGATGGTGGGGCGCAGTGAGTCGTAGGGACCCCTTTGGGGGTAATTCCATTATGTTGAAAACTTTATCCGAAGCCCTAGCCCCTAGGCCTTAAACCTGGACTAGGTAAACAGTACACTACACCTGCCCACAAGGTCGTTCAGGGTGTAGGGTTTTAGGGGTTCTCATAATGGTATCCGGTTCTCTTCGGACAGGTTCTTGTTTTTGAAAATGGCGGAGCTTTGACTCTACCGCAATGGTAAGCTTCTCTTTCCCGCATCAGAGCGATCATCCTCGCCAGGGACAAGAAGATATGTTGCGAAGAACCAGGCTAAGAATGTGATGGCAGAGAAGACTTACATTGACAATGATGAGGCTCGTCATGATGCGGACGGTACTGGGAAGTGCGATGATCATGATGATGATGATGATGATGATGATGATGATGGTTGGGGCTGGTGCTGGTGCTGGTGTTGATGCTGCTGCTGGTGCTGGTGTTGGTGCTGCTGCTGGTGCGGCTGCTGCTGCTGCTGCTGCTGCCGGTGCTATGCTGGTGATTATGCTGATGATGGTGATAGATGTGGTGGCGGTATGGAAAGAGTCTGAATGTTGGAGAAATGCAACAATCAACAGAACAGGGAGAACCGGAACCACAGCAAGCAGCTGGAGCAGTACCAAAATCATGCCCTGCATCCCCAAAACCCAAACCCTGCATAACAAGTACGAGAACAGCCGCTCTCCCGACACTACCGGGGGCACCGGCTGAGCTTAGCCAGGGCTTTCAGACCTCGAAGTTTACGGGCTTGGCACTTTTGTAGGGCTTCCTCGTCGAGTTCTCTGAGCTGGGTATGAGATTATGAAAGAATGGTTGTTGGATGTTGAATGCGATTCCTGTGGTATTGCAGGACGTTTTCGGTAGGGCCTTAAAATGCGGAGGCTTGGAAGTTTTGGGGTTTGGAGATGCTGGGGTCTTAAAGCCTTATGGCCCTAGGTTAGGGTTTACGGTTTAGGGTTTTAAGATACCGGGAAGGCGAAACTCATGACCTGCAAAGCCCTCGCAAGTGAACTCCGCAGAACCTTTGAGAGCCTTTGGACTCCACATCCCGAAATCCCTAACACACGAATGTAGGAACCTCATTAAGAAACCCTGGTCCTGTAACCCCCAAATAGCAGGGTACATATATAGAACCCGAATAAGCCTTAATAAAGACCCAAGGTTTCTTAATCAGTTTCCTACATTAGTTGCTTACTTTTCCAAGCCCGGGGGGCTCAGGGCCCAAGAGGCGTAGGACTGATCTGCCGCACACGGCGGCTTGCAGGCTGTAGGGTTTAGGGTTTAGGGCTTAGGGAACAAGGCAATACAAGGGCCTTACTGATTCGCGAAGGGCTTTGGTTTGTATGATAGTGACATTCAAACCGAGGGAGACAACTGGGTGGTTGTCAAAATTAGGGTCCGTTTTGGGTCCCTATTATAATACGGCACCTAATATTAAGGGTACCCCAAAAAGAGACCCTAACTTTGACAACCACCCAATTGACAATTGTTGAAGCCCCAATGAAAGCGTTCAACAATCCAAAATTCAGAAATCATCTCCAAACAAAAGTGGGGATCCTCAACAAGAGACCGTTACTCAAAGGGTGCGGGAAGTCTGGAGGATCCCACACAAACCTACTACCATGCCCCTACTTCCCCTTTACACCACCCTTTAATCACAGAAGACCCCCGAACCCTCACCCTAAACCCAGGGTTTGGGGGTTTACGGTTCTTTTTTTAAAGTTGAATTGCACTCCCTTTCTCCAGAGGCGCTGGCCGATTGGCCCTCAACTGTGAAACAAAACACCCCACGTAGACGTTGTAGTACTCGCCGATGTTGTAGTACTCGTTGACGACGTCCAAGTCCATTCACCCGACGAAGTCGCCACTGAACTCGACTCCCCAGGAGTGGTAGCTTCAACACCCATAGCAAAGGACATAGGAATTGGCAGGTGATCACGGCGAGGACTTCGAGAGCGGTCTTCATGTCCAGAATCGGTACCCCGAGCAGCACGGCCAGGAGGAAGGGCAAGAGCTTGTAGTTCCAAAGGCAACGTGTAGGGGTCAACCACAGCAGTGTCCATGCCACAGCCAACGACTTCAGCCAAAGTCTGCACAGTCTCACCCACGAACTCCGCCGAAAGTTGTGCCAGCTCTTCACGAACCACTTGAGGAGGTAGTCGAGGTACATCCGCCATTCGTGCTTGAAGTAGGTCACAAAGAGCCTGCAATCCCTGCGTAGCTCCACGGAGCGTATTGAGCAACACCCCAATGTGCCAGGGGACGTCACCACGAAGTTCTCCACGGAGTGCACGAAGACGTCGAAGGAGTTCACCCAGTTCTTGAACACAGCGCGGCCCAACACCAGCATCAAGTAGACCATTAGCTTCGTTCATGTCAAGGGGCAACGGTTGCATGAAGCTCGTTTCATCTCCAGGCATCGCAGCAGGAGGCACAGCTGCCACATCACCAGGGGGATCTTGTCCACCAGACGTCCCAGTAGAAGCAGCGTCACCGACGACTCCACCAAGTTCCGCAGGAGGACCATCAGCACTGCCAGTAGCCACCATGTCACCAGTAGGAGCGGTTGCATCCATATCACCAGGACCATCAGGAAGTGCACCAGTATGTCCAGAGCTCACCCCAGGATCACGTCGCGGAGAACGGGATCGATCGGTATCGGACTCCGTTCC